TTCAGTTTCCTCTCAACTGCAGAATTTTAAGTATGCAGGTCTTTAAGCAAGCAGAGGTTGAAAGATGAGTTGTGGAATACATATGTAGACAACCCTTAAAACCTTTAATTACTATAAAGTAACTTTCCAGGTCTTTGAATGACTTTTCCATATTTATAGTTAGGCACCTATTTAACTAGCAGTGAAACTAAACAATTTTTGCGGGTTGGTCACGGCATGAAGAGCAAATTCTTCAGATCTCCCAGATGTGCTCTGCTGGCCCCACCTCTCAGTGCTGATTGGCAGGGAGGCCCTAGCAGGGGAGAAGAAATGAGGGGGTGGCAATCATTTTGTCTGCTAGCTGCCCTTCATGCAGTCCCTCCCCTTGGCACTGATTGGTGGAGAGGCCCTGGTGGGAGGAAGGAGGATGAAGGGGAAGCAACCATCTTGTCTGCTGCCCTTCATGCGGTCCCACCAGTGTACCTTCCCAACCCCCTCTAGGGCAGGCTGCGACACTGGGCCACAGTAGCAGCAAGGACTGTTGGCTCCCACTGGAAGCCAGCATTTAGGATGATTTTTGCAGACAATCCTGGGTTTCACGGTTTTCATGGACAATCCTGGATTTCATGTTTTCTGCAAAATCTGCAGAATTATGAATTGAGTAGACCCCTATTTATATCATACTGTGGATGACTCCAAAGCCGTAACCACTTCCCTTAGAGGTGAGATCTTAGGAGAACAGTGGCTGAAGCACTACTTTGCTGAATGCAGTATCAGGTCAGGAGACTTTAGAGACTGTGAAAAGCACTTCAGGTGGCCACAGTGCTGCTGATATTGCTCAAACGCTGCTGAACTGTACTCTAATAATACACAGGCCCACTTTGCGAACATGCCATGAGATGATCAAATACTTAAAAATTTGCAGTCTCAAGTGGAGATTTCTTTGCAACTTCATCCTTTCCATTAAAGTCACAGAGAACCAAGATGACAATCTTAATTACTTTATCTTTTATAAGCAAGAGGGTGGTCTTTATAACAGCCTAGGGTGTTCCTTAAAAAATATACAGTGTAGCAACATGTGCAATTAATGGAAAGCAAAAAACTCTGGCATTCATTGCCCTGGAGTTTATTGCCATTTGAACATGCACCTGGGATCACAGCTCAATGAGATGCATTAGAGCAGCCTTAGCTAGCAGGGTGCCCAGGGGGTCAGTGAGCCTGCCAGCCAAGGGCAGCTCCCCCTAGCTCAACATGCTATAGCAGGGATGACTAAGGCACAAGGGTGCTTTAGTGTGGGGTGCCAGCAGGCAGCCCCCTCCTGCCCCAGGCAGCTGGAGCAGCTTTTATGTGTGTGCTGCTGCAGAGTAAATTAGTTTACTCCAGCTGAATTGGACTAGACTTTTACTGCGCAGCTAATTAACCTAGTTGTCAGTAACTGTCTCGTGTAAACACACCCAGAGCGTTTTTAACTTATTTACATTATCTGAAGACATTTACTGTTAGTTTTTCCTGGAACCAATGCAAATGATCCATGGGTTAGGGCACCCACCATATTCATCCTCCTATACTCCTAGGAGATATGTGCAGGGAGCTGGGGAGGGGCTAATGCTGCCCCTGTGGATTTGCTCAAAAGATTAATCCACAGCCTAGCCTCCATATTCTTGCAGGTTGATGAGATGATGACCTTGCAGATGAAGCATTTTCTTGGGATACAAAACATACTGGCACTAGAGACAGAGGGGAAAAAGAGGCACTTCTACTACCCCCCTCCCCAGTTCCAAGCATGAAGAGCCTCAGGGGCATCTTCACCCCCCACAGCCTTCACCACCATCTTATCCCTCATCCTGGTTCTGCTGGGCAAG